TATAGCATCACTGCTGGAGAGGAGTTAAGGAGCAGAGATTTGATCAATACAACTTTACTTTACATTTTTCATTTGACCCTCAGTGTCTAACAAATACTATCACCGAAGAAGAGATCCTCGAAGCCATAGGAAAACTAGCTAACGAAAAGGCGCCTGAGACTAGACATCATCCCAAACTGGATACTCAAAATCTACAGAAAGACGCTTACTAATGACCTAGGAAAATTGTTCAATGCCTGCATCTCAAAATGCTACCATCTCAAAGGCTTTAAAGAATCCGTGACGATTGTGCTACGAAAGCCATAAAAGCAATCGTACGACAATCCCAAGACCTACCTACCAATCGCCCTCTTGAATACCATGGGAAAGCTTCTCGAAAAGCTCATTACTAACGGGATATCGAAAGTAGCCGAAAGCCACCACCTACTCCCAGACGAACAGATGGGGGTAGCTTCTCTACTCAGTCTAAGTATATCTAGCGCGTTGGATAACGCCTCTCACATAAGACTTATCCATAACATGAAGGCTAAAAAGGTTCCTAGGTGGATCACGCAGTTTGTAGAGTCATTCCTAGAAGACAAAACTACAGCGATGAACCTCAGTTCATTTCAAGGGGACCAGTTTGCGACTTGTAACAGAATCCCTCAAGTATTCTCCCGGTTGCCAATTATGTTCCTATTCTTTATCGGCACCCTGCTTCTGGAACTTCAGTCGACAAATTCCACTGCTGTAGGATTTGTTGACGACACAAATATACTAACATGGTCAAACTCCACTGAAGAAAACGTTCGAAAACTCGAGGAGCTTCATGGCTTATGAGAGCAGTGGGCCGAAAAAACATGTAGTCAAATTTGCGCCGGAGAAGTATCAGCCAATGCACTTCTCTAGGGCTCGAACAAGACACAATATGAAATTGACAGTTCAAATATAAGGCCACCTAGTAAGACCTCAAACCTCTCTCCGAATCCTAGGTATCCACTTAGATCCAAGGCTGAACTAGAATAATCACATCAAAATTACACCGACCAAAGCAGAATCACAGTTGGTAGCACTAAATATGTGACGAAAATCGAGTTTGTGATAAATAAATCGATTTATTAAACTATATGAAGAAAAGGGAGAAATCTAGCTACGACTAACAGGTATTTATAAGAATTGGTCACCTTCGTCAATCTCCAGACCGATGATTTATCCTTAGGCAAAATACTTGCTAGCCAGCCATGCATTGCTAGGTGTTACTTAGTTATAGTAACGCTTCGACCTCCTGACTAGAAGTGCCGTCTTGCTCAGTTTCACCTATCCCTCCCTATGCAGCTTTGTCGTAAAAATTCTTATCGACTTTGTTATGTCCGGCAATAGTTATAAAATAATTATGGATTGTCAGATTTCGATATGTAAATATGCGTTGAGTATTGCAAAGAAAATATGATATAAGTGTAGATGTAGATGTAGATGAAAGATAATTGATAATATTAAAAGATGTGCTTCCTATAGAACCTGCCCGTTCTCACTTCCGATCCAGGTCACTTATAAACTATCTATCCAAAGTATTCATACGTCATCCATCCACTTAGCAACACATCAAGACTTAATCTTCAAGTTAGATCTAGTTACAGTCCCGTTTACAGAATGTTACATTGATGTTCGCGATGGTGGTGTTTTCCTATGCTAAACATGTTCCATGCATCTACACCCCTGAGCTGTGTAACTGCTAAAATGCACTGATATAACAATTTAACACACATGTATCAAAACTGAATCTCACACTTTGAATCATAGACCTTCGGATTATACTCCAAGGAGAAACAGTAGCCTGAAATATATCCGAGCATCTCTGCATATTCCTAGCCCGTGTCTAAACACATTCTCAACAATACGCTTAGGTATTCACCTAAGCTTAAGCAACAGTCAAATCTTTACAAAGTAGATTGAAATTGAAATTAGTTCCGGAGATTGGAACAATTACACACTAGCCTCGAGTTTGATTTAGAGATACGATAATTGTTTTTACTATACAAAGAAGTTTACTGATATTTAATGGATTTTTTGATTTGTATTCATTATCCTGATCTGGCGCCCTATGGGCCCGTGCAGGTGACTATAAACCTATCTACATATTTACATAGGAGGAAACCTCTCGGTGAAATCACCCCAAGCTTTCTGATTTAATTCTTAGAGTTTGCAATTTATCCTTCAGGAAGCACAGTTACACTTTAACGCCGTCGACGTTTATCAATCACGTCCCTTCTATCGATCCCAACCTTCCACATGTTCCCTATCGTTGCCTGAGCTGCATTTTAACTGCATTTGTCAAGCGGAATTGTTCTATCCAACCATGATTAAGAATACATCGTGTGATTCTTTTCATATCACTGGGATTGTTGGTCGTTGCTTCAAAGGAGCGATTTCGGGCTTGTCTCCAGATTTCTCCTCTACCGATTGACCATTTGGGGCAGGACATGATCATGTGCTTGGGATTTTGTGATTGGTAGCCACACGGACAACTTGGGTGATAAACTCCTGGTACTTTTCTTCTGTATAAATAAGAATTGAGCCCGATATGCTCGCTTCGAATTTGGTTTGCTAAGCTACTTTGGGCCCTCGTTAGGTTTTTGTGGAGAGAAAATAGTGACTCCCGGGAGCTTTTTTTAGTACGTCCAGAATGGCGGCATTGGTAGAACTTTGCTGATGCCCAAGTTCTAGGGTCTGCTGAAGCAAATCTTTTAGGCTGTCGTGTTCGCTTTGTGACGGAGATATTTAATGGATAGTTAATTGTAAAGAAATTGCTGTAATTCTATATATGTGGCGAGAAGTCCCTCTATATACATAAAAGTGAGGTTTTCCGCACACTAGAGTTCACTCCAACATACTTCCTAATCTAACCTAAATGGGAAGACTGTTGGAGATCCTGAAGCCAATGTATGCCGTCGGGCATCTATTGGCTAATTACTATTCATGCCAGTAAGTGATAATATGGGTTAATCATATCTCATGGCGCCAGTGCATATTATTCTAATATGTACTATTTTTCTACTGCAGTTATGTTGCTGCCTTAATTACAACAATTGCCACAGTCGACATGGGGTACATCATTCCGCAGATCACTGCAAATATACAACGCCATAGTCTGACCAGCCCTCATCTGTGGTTCACCAATTTAGGCAGAGGCTGGACCCAATAGCAAAACACCGAAGAGAATAATTAAGCCTCTGAGAAGTATCCAAAGAAAATGTCTGAAACTTGTAACAGGAGCATTCAAATCAACAACCTGTAGGGTACTAGAGCATGAAACCTCAACCCTGCCAATAGACATATACCTCAAGCCTAGTCGGTTCCAATATATCGGGATGTCAAAAAAATTGTCGGTTAGTGGGACAATTTTATCAGTATGCAGAAAGAGCAAACTCCCAAGTTATAGAATACAAGATATACGCGACGGTACAAAAGCTAATGGATTCTCTGCCTGGGAAAAGATTTGTGGAAAAAATGACACCAGATACCGATAGAAAGCGGCTGGAAACGTCGCAGCTTTAAGGAATGGAAAAATACTGGAATAAACTAGCCGCTATGCAGTCTACTAATCATTAAGCGGCGGCAGATCCCAAAATCTGGATGGTAGCCAACATTTTCGTAGACGAAAAGATCGGAGAGAAAAGAATGAACTACAGAGGAACACCTATCAGTATCCACAAAAACCTTAACAGGGCCCAAAGTAGCATAACCATGCGGATAAGAAGTGAGCACATTGGGTTCAACTCTTACTTGCACAGAAGACACGTTTCCGAAGTAGACAGCCTACGATGCCAATGTGGATACCCGTCCCAGAAAGTCATGCATATGATCATGGCTTGCTCAGACTGGGCCAAAGGGAAAGGCGAGATTCTGAGAAAGGCAGAGAACAGGTCATTTGAGGCTATGATGAATAACCCGAAAGATGTGGCAAGAATTACAAAGTGTATTCAACATGAAGGGAGATTGGAACAGTTTCGAGTGACGCTTGAAGTCGAGGCCACGATGAGGGAGAGAGAGTAGAGTAGGGGAAATGTGATTTCTTGTCAGTAACAGAGAAGTTGGTGATATCCGCACTGGACATAACAGTGTTAGTGCACTTCTTGAAGGTAATACAAATTTAAAGTGTATATAATTTGAACAATTAAGGGATCTTTTACCACAAAGGCTTCCTCCTATGTAAATATTAGAGTTCGTAGACACCTGCATGGGCCTTAGGACGCCAAATCGGGCTAAATGAAATCAAATTCAAAACAAGCATATAAACATCGATGAGTATTGTGGTTATGAGCTTAGGTTAGTGTCACTATGCATGCTGATCTTGTAGAGTATGTAGATCGATGAGTTAAGGTTGTGGTTGAAGGTGTATCTGAGGTTCACTGTGCTTATTTGTTCTAGATTAATCGTGTGCTGAGCACTCGCTACTTATACTCTTGTGCGGCCGCTAGTCAGTTCCCGACCACATAAGCTTCCTCCTGCAGATATCCCAAACGATACAGGAACTACACAAACAGCGTAAACATCTAATCACGTTAAGTACATGCAAGTATCCTAGCTGTAATACATGCCCATCATAACAATGAGAATTTTAAAGTTAGAGAATACGTAGATCTTCCTACGAAAAAGGGAGATGGCATAGAATAATGCATGAATAGATAAAGAAAATTTGGTTCAATAGTGGGGAATTCATGGAAAAGGATAGTATACTAGATAAAGTTGAGTGTAAACTTTTTATAAATCTAATTATCATAATAAAAGGAAAACATCAGAAAAGAATGCTACTTTCTTAATATAGAGCAACTTTGATCGCCAGTTTCGCCGTTATTATAGCAATAATATAAAATTCGATTGATATGACCTGGATGTAAGAGATACCAATTTTAGTGCGCTATTGTTTTGAATAGTAATTACCCCCAAAGTTATTAAATAATTTTAGACTAAAATAAGCTGGCATGCTTGTCGAATAGACGTCAGAGGGGCTAAGCATATTTTTAGATTGCCTTTAGTCCAAATAGAACATCAAGGATTTCGTCAAAAAGGGTAAAAGTAAGGTGAAGACTATTTTGCGTTAGCACGTCACTGGTCATCCGTCTATAATAATAGCTCACTTTAGCCTCGGGTTATTGAAGGTTGCAAATAACCTTCGACTAGCTGCCTGGGCATTGACTCTTCCTACCACACTTGCGGCTAGGTCTGGCACTAGTGTGGCTAGTATTAAGCTAGCCTCTGTTCGGCTCTTTGATTTTTCGGCAGAAGTTCTAAGCTTGAACTCTTTTTTAAACTGTCCATCAGGCCATAAGGTATCTCGCAGGTTATTAATATACTTTACTATCGCTTCTTCTGAGCAAAGACCCTTAATATTCTCTCGCGCCTTTCGCTCGATTGTTCCACCGAGTAGCTGATGTAGAACAACAACTACAGCTCGACCACGAAGCCAGTTATTTCCGCGGTTTAGTTCAAATACCTCAAGAAAAATATCACATATAGGTTTGACAAAAGGCTCGAGCTCCTTATTTTCGAATGCGTTGAGCTCAAATTCTGCTTCTGCTGCGTGCAATGAATCTTCCCCAACTGTAGCCGGCATAGTCATCCATTGCTGACTAGCGACAGAAATTAAGTTCTGACCAGCGACCGAAAGTTGATCAAAGACTGGAATATTACCGAGAATATCTTCCATACCATCCGTTACAGAATTGTAGAAACGAGTCATGAGATCTTTTTTTTTATCGTCATTTTCTTGGGCGCTTACATTCCCAGGGATTACTGCGCTCTCAGAGAGAAATGTACGTAGTTCTCTACTACGACAAATCTCAGGTAATAGCAATATTTCTCGGAGGTACCTCTCGAGTGCCAAGCGTCTTCGATGAAGGAAATCTGCTTGAAGTTTCATAACCATCCTACGTCGAGGAAATTCAAGAGTACGGGTAGAGGCGTACTTTTCCCGTAACTTCTGATTGAGCTCAAGAAACTCGCTATAGCGGCGATTTATTGTCCAAGTCGCAGCAGGCATTTGCTCACCAGCTTTGCGTTGGACCTCAATAATGTAAGTAGCAAAATCCTTCCCATCTTCATCTTTGCCAACTGCTATGGACTTTATCCTGACCGTAGACCGTCCGTATAGACTGTTATCGCTCTCTTGTATGACATACTGCCTACGCTGTAGTTCTTTGTGCCTAATTTCTCGTTGTAAACTGGCTTTTGATTTTTTTAAGATTCTTAATTCTGCGGTATTGTTGGTAAGTTCTGCTTTCCGCGTCATAGAATCAACTACGGCATCTTGAGAAAAAAGGCGCTCAATGTCTACCGTGAGCGCTGAGATGGCCTCTGCTAAACCTAGATCACCTGGTGCAGCTTCATGTACGACATCTTCGTAATCGAGTGGATTTTCATCAGAATCTTCGTGCTCATCTGATATAAATTTTTCTTCATCAGGAAAAAGATCATCATCTGTGAAAACCCCGATACGAGATGACATATTCACAAGACCCAACGAAGATATGTTTGGTTTTTCGACTTTTTCCGGCTTTGAATCGGAGATACCAAGCTTTTTTCCCTCAAATGAACTTCTTGAAGAATAGATTCTTGGAGGTGTCCTGTGGAACTGTGAATATTCGTCATCACCAAAGAGAGAATTGCGGAGCTCTTCCACGTTTGACTCAAATCCCATGATAGAGTTTAAGGCTGCTTCCATTGATTTGATAACCTGTTTATCTGGAATACTACTATGGATATCATGATCCGAACTATACACTGAGTTATTTAATGCTTCAGTGTCAAAATTATCTTCATTAAAACAAGCAGACGCGTTAGTGTCAAAGGATCTACGAGAATATGTTTTTGACTCGAGCCGATTAGATGGAGTTGTAAAATCTACAGAGTTAGCTTGACGTCGGAGCTCTCTATTATTTGGAAAAATTTTGCTCGATTCCCTTGAAATTGATGAGGCTTTAGGTGATAATGACTGAGATGATGACGATTGCATGGGCATTTGATTATACTTTGTTGAAGGCTCTAATTTAGGGATGGCTGAGCTAGATTTGACTGGTATCGGGGATTTCGATGTCTCCCTAGACGTTAAGCATTTATAGAACAAATCTGACTTTTTAAAGTTCTGGAAATGCTCATCTTGCATTATTTCAAGTGCAGCGGTCTGTGCTCTAAGGATGGCTCTTCGAGCTAAATAATACTGTTTTGAACTTGCATTTTTTCCAGCCTTGAGGAATTCTAAGACAATCTGACGTGAAGAATCAGGAATTTTGAGCTCAGATTTAAGTAAATAGGCGTCATTTATTAAGGCAAGGTCCTTCCTATCTACTTCATCCCAAGAAGGGAGAGCGGCGGGTATATCATCAGCAAAGTCATCTTCCAGTGGTGTGCGGAATCCTTCAACAACAATCCAAAATTGAACCAGGGGTAATAAATTCTGCCTATCCATAAATTCCATAAAGTATGTAAGCCCAGAAGTATCATGTAAAAGATCTAATAGAGTAGCCTTCTCAAACCCCGGGAGTGCTCTATTGTCGGAAGGTTCGTGAGTAGGTCTTGTAGTTTCTCCACCGGCTGCGAGTAAGTTAACGCGTTGATCCAATAATCTCTTTCCAATTTTGAGCCGTTTTAAATAGACGGGATCTATTCTGTCTTGTTGTGAATCTTTTTTAAGTAGACTTGAGAGCTCACTCCGAAAACGCCGTGCATCCGAAAGATTGTTTACTTTCTGGATGGCACGTATAAATTTCTCAAAATTTCTCTCATGATCTCCAGGTACTAGGCGAGGAAAATTAACTTTTCGCGTTGTCCTTGGGGCGAATGATGTGTGTTGGTCCAAGGCAAATCGAAGTTTTTTAACGGTTGAGCGATCTTGCAATACTGATTTTCCCTAGAGAATCTAAGGTTAGATTTCTACCGACCGCTGATAGTTACTCACATAAGATTCCATAATTTGGTTCCATGTATCTGGTTCCGCTAGTATTTGCATAACAGGTGAAAGAACCGCACATGCAATTAGCTCAGTGATAAGGGCACTTGCTGCGCGACTGGCTAATATACGTTCTGGTAAGAGAAATGGAAGTAGTTCTTTTGTTTTATTACGCAGATGGCATTGCTGTACTAATTTGGTATCCGAGTATTCCAAAGACGCGGCTGGGTGTAATTGTCCATCGTTATATTTTGCGGCGATAGCAAGGTCAAGCTCCTCTGATTCCGTTACGGTACGATTACGGTATTTCCCACGGATAGCCATCTCAGCTTTGGAATAATCTCGAAAGTGAGCAGTTAAAATCGGCACAAACCGTGTAGTAATAGTTGCTGTCAGGTCCAGTGATGTTAAGCTATCACGCAGGCTACCAAGAGCCTGACGCATTGTTCTGTCTACCTCGTTTATGAAATTTGGATTCTTGCTTATGCTCGAGTACCATGACTCTATAAAATCTCTTGATATATGCTCCAGCAGGTCATCAATCGCACTAGATATAGTGGGAGACGTTGGGTGTAAAGGTTTCTTCTCGTAATTATGTCGTTTCCGAAGGGATGCGACCTCTTTCTTCCATACTTTCGGCGCAAGAAACGCAACACTCTTAGGTCTCTGTATACGGATTGTCGCATCATACTGGCTTCCTCTGGACGTTAAAATAAGTAGCGCGATCAATCCAAAAACTGGCAACAACAGGCCAAGGATAAATGCATAGCTAACCCATCGGAAAGTTGGAATCCAATTGACCGCGCAACTCCATGCGAAGAAGCAGGCGATACCAATGAGGCTCACATCACGTCGCCTGAATTCCATAGTACGTGAGGTAAATTAGTGATTATAAATAACATGGCAGAATAAGTCTTGCTTGGATCTTTCTCTCTCTAATTAGTCTCCCTTTGGTGGAGTTTATCCTGATCCCATGACTCTGAAGATGGACCGATCAATTAATTCGGAATCACCATGGTTAAACACTACCATTGGACTAAATAAACTTGGAAATAGACTTTGGATCCAATCTTATCGAAGTGCTACCGCAATATTATTGTTTACTGTGCTTGCAACTGTATTCAAACCTTTAACTCATTAAAATTCGGTTACCGTCGAACGCTACCATGTGTTTGAACTTGAAAACCGTGACCCTTGGAAATTTCATTAAGCGACAAAATCTTTCGGCAACAAGAGAGCAAACTGTCTTTGAGGATCTATGATTGAATATATCTAAAGTAAGGAATTACGCGTAGTTCTTGCGGTGCCAATATTTAACATGTTTACCGAGGGGGACTATTCTCAATACCTGTCAGTGGTGTCCCCTACGAACCTCCAGCTCTCACTGTAGAGTCTGCAGAGCCGAGATTGAGTAACAAAGTCCTCACTTCGAAGAGGATTCCCAATCGCTTTCGCGGTCTGTATCGTCTTCATCTCTCAACACATTCCCCTATCACCATTATCATGAAGCTAACCACGATCAGATCAGATGGTAGGGTCGGAGCCCTACTCGTCACCCACCCTAGATCATGGAGGAAAAGCCATCCGATGAGTTTCCGGAGCGTACCCAGCACCCGATACGGAGATGGTGGATTGGATCAAGTCGGCCTCGACTGTTACAAAGAAGGGAGATATAGATGAATATGCGCACCTCATGTGGTCCCGGTGTCTAGGCCTCGCCTGGCTGGGGCTGCAGGTTTTTTGAGACTTTTTCCCGCGCACGCAGTTTCCATTGCTACCATTTTTATTTTTTTTGGGTAGAAGGTTCCGTGGAAAAGGTGGCTGAATTCCACGGGTAAAAACTGAGCTGAATGGCTATTCATCAAGGGGAATATATCAATGATCTTTCGAGTAACAAAAGAGGATAGGAGCACTGTACAAGGTGTGGCCTGGGTCAGAGAGGAGCCCAATGTGCTAGATAGTCATAGACTCAAGTAGTACAATAAAAACACACACACACACAACATGTTTACCGATGATTTTATTTAGCAGGGCAGACTTCAGTAGTATTTAAATAGGAATCATGGGATCCACTTTAACATAATTAAATTAAGAAGAGTTACAAATTATACATTTGCTTTCCTAATCATTACTCCCACACAGTTGAGTAGCCTTAGCACCAACTTCACTTAGGAAGAAGGTGCTTCAGACCACATTTCGCGCGGAGAAAAGTATACAGATGATGGAGGCGTGTCTGGATAATCCAGGGTTTTGGAGACTTTCCTCTGGGTGGGTATTCTTTTTTTTTTTTTTTTTGCATCAGATTTTAATTGCGTATGCAGCTATCTAGCTATGACACAATATCAAAGAAAAGTACAGAAAAGATGACTCAATTTACAAGAGGAGCACTCATGCCTCGGATTTCATTTGCAAGTACCACTGCGAAGTTATGGTGGCTTTTTCTTCACCCCAAGTCAACCCTCATCCGTGAATACTCACCCAGGGAAACGTCTCAAAAACCCTGAGTTATCCAGACATGCCTCCGTCATCCATCAACTTTTCTCCGCGCGAAATATAATCTGAGATGTCTCCTTCCCAAGTGGAGTAGGTGCCCAGGCTACTCAAACTATACCAGAGAACATCACCAGGAGGCGGACCACAACACCTTCCATCGTTTGCTTGTTTTTATAGTGTCAGCTGCACTCTCGCAAGCGAAATCTTGGCGCGCACAAAGCTCAATTCGTAAAACTCTTGCCAAAATTCAAAATTCCACGCCCGTCGAAAAACGTATCCCTCTTCTGCATCATCTTGTGAACTTGTCCTGATCCCTCTCACGTCCATCCCAAAGAGCTATCTCCCAGATTTGTGCTCCACGCTTTGCTTCCTCCGTCGGGTATAAATATCGGCGTGGGCGTATATGTGGTGACCGGCTGAAGCCAGAGAAATTCGACGAGAGGTGTGGTCATTGAAACGAGGATGTACTAGGTCGTACTTGTAGACTTGATGAAGCTTAGTTGAGAATTGGACTCTTTGGGAGTGAAAGATTGACATGGTGGAGTAATTTGAATTTTTGCCTCGTGGGCCAACTTCTTTGATATTGCGAAATTTGACTGAACTTGGCTCTGGGAGAATATTTCACTCCCAGGTTCGTAGAGGACACCGCGTACAGGTGTTCAGTCTTGCCCTCCTGGGTGGGTATTCACAGATGTAGGTTAAATAGGGGTGAAGAAAACACCGCCATAACTTCATAGTGGTACTTGTAAATGAAATCCGAGCCACGAGTGCTCTTCCATTATGTCAAGTCATCTATTATGTATTTTTTATTTAATATTGTGTCAAAGCTAGATAGCTGCGTACGCTATGAGAATCTGATACAAAAAAACTCCGACACAGGCCGCCAAAAATTTGCAAGAACTCGTAAATCAATTAATTATGATACATTGAGCAAGGACCCATTCTATTTCACACTCATGTATAGTGTGGTAAGATTCGGACGAAAGTCACCCCCAAAGTCCAAACTATAAGGTCTTGCGAGTTTGTTGGCTTCCAGTGTAACAACTTCAAATTTAACTTTTGTGATTTTCTTCGGTTATATAATGCATCGAGTGAGCCAAGGGTTCCACACAAATTGAAGTTCTATGATGATACTAAAGTTATCATTTCAACACTGTGGTACAAGTTTTTGATTCAGACATCAGACTGTATCTAATTGAATGGTTTATTACAAAGATTTGATGGTGTGGATTATATTACAGGCAATCTACTCACTAATCTTCTTGAAATTTGAGAATTTCGGTTCGAATCAGGAATGTTCTATCTGCAATCCTGTGGCTATGAGCTTGTAAGTAATATGTATAGGTACTAATCTAGCCGTATCTAGTTCGAGCATTGCTTTTCTCGGGCGTGAAAAGTTAGGTCGAAATAGTAAGACCTCTGCAAATAGCCCTATATAGAGGTCAAGGAATACAACTCATGGTGCAATGTAACTTTTTGAGTAATGACCAGTTGGAACTGAAGTTCGGCATCGACTGTGGTTCAAGAGAGATAATCCAAGGTTTAATAGGTTTCTTGTGACTTAAAGCCATTTCATTTTTCCTATCAAAGGGTTTTCAGGAGCGGAGGCTCCTCAAGACGCCGGAAAGTAGCCACAAATTTTGGCCCATCATTTCGGTCAACTTTCATGCTTTCTTCTGTCTTTACTCTCATTATCTTTACACACATGTCTGCTTCTTGTTCCTCAGGAGAAACTTTCTCGAAAGCTGGATGAGCTTCAAAGTGGCTAACCATCCAGTTGTGTAGATCTTCGACATCTGTAATAGTGTACACAATGCCACCAGGACGCAAAACATAGGCATATTCTGAGTTCAAAGTGGTCGAGATGATCCGAGCTTTATGCTTCCGAGCTTTGAAATGTGGATCTGGGAAACAGAAGAAAATCTTTGAGAGCTGATGCTTCTTGAAAAAATTGGGGATGAACTTCATGGCGTTCGCTCTGATACAAGCCACGTTTTGGAATGCATTTAGATTATCGTTCTTAACCCTGAGGGCTCTGATTCGTTCTTGAACATATTCGGCAACCTGACTTCGTATTTCCATACCTGTGATGGTTGTTAGACGCAGTGATTACTAATTAGATGGCTTTCATACCAAGCATTAGCGTATTAGGCAATTCCGGAGCGAGAGCGACGAGCAAACCGCCAAATCCACAGCCAATATCTGCTATCTCTATGTCTTTTATTAAGGTAGTAGTTTTATTTCTTATTTTAAAATTCTTTTCATTATTTTTGGTCGATGAACATTCTTCATCTATCTCCATAGCAGAACTTGTAGTATAAGCTGGAAAATACTCAGACCAATCCATATATGCTGGGTTAACGGGACTAGAGTCAAATGATTTCATCAGCTAGTATACTACATACTTGAAAAGTGAAATTTTGCACTTACTACAGTAATCTATGATCCGAGAAAGGATTGGCGTGAGCCCTTTGTCGGTAGAACTTTTTTTTTGGAGCTTCCGCAGTCCCCTTCGCATTCTTGTATTCTAACCTCTTGGAACGTTTATCTGTAGGGCCGACCATTTCGAAACCGTGTAGAAATTTCTTCTATCTCTCACCTTAATCTGTTCAGAGAGTATATAACTTGAGAATTATTTTTAAATGTTAGAGTGTGACAATGATTACGCGCGTCCGTGAACAAATCTATGAAGCACGTAACGTCACAGCTATTTTACACACACAGTTCTGCTTACATATGAACCTTTACTTAAGGGGACTCAATCTAATTCAACTAAATGCAAATGTTTACAACTTAGTACATTTACTCATCCAGGTCTCTAATCTTATTGTTTAATACTGTCTTCCATCGTTTATTTATTTGGAGACAATTTCCTCGCTCTCGCGCTGCGCCAGCTATTCAACCTTAAACCTTATGTCGTGGTGTTCAATTCTGCCTCCTAGCATTGACTTTATTGAAATATGGCTTACGCGTACATTTGTATGGCTCTTCCATTTACACGCCCACATGAGATCTAACTGAGAACCAATTCAGCTTTTGCTTGGCACTTTGACAATAAGCCCATGGATTTTGCTACTCGTATACGATGCAGTTTTGTACATGCTCCGTACCATTTTGCATGAAATTTCTCAAAAAATAAAAATTAGGAATTGTCTGTCTCATCAGTCATCCAAACCTCACGAAACTTCTGCTAGCCCTAAACGACAATTTGGAGCCATCCTGCCAGAGAAAAGCTCTTGCTCGGAAGCGAAACTTTTTCAGACGTCATTAGAACATAATATATAGTTTTAGGGATAATATAGATCATCTAATCTTGTCACAGTAACACTACTAAGGGCTATACATGTTTTCAGGCGTAATTCTCACTTAAGATATACATTTGACTACCTTTAGAAGATCCCCTGTGACACCCATCGCTGTCACCTCTCCCCCAGCTCCAGCTCCCTGAATGATTAAGGAACCTTTATCATAACGCTTTGTATAAAAACTTATAAGATTATCGCTCCCCTTTAATGCTGCAATTGGATGAGAACGATCGAACATCTCAATACTTACTTTTGCCTCTTTCTTGACGACGTCAACACTTCCAACGTATCTTAAAACCTTCCCATTTTTTTCAGCAGTTTGCTTGATTTCTTCCATGTGAAAATCAAATTCAGGGAGTCTCCGTAAGAATTCATCTCTACATGTTACTTTTTCTAATTCCTTTGGAATTAGACTTTGAACTGGGAATGACATCGGAGATTCCAGCTGAATCCCAGAAAGCCTTGCCAAAATGGTCAATTTTCTTGCAACATCAAGTCCATTCAAGTCATCTCTTGGATCAGGTTCGGTATATCCAAGTTCTTTTGCTCTTAGAACTTCAGCCGACCACAATCCACCGGCCCCTTCAGTTGGAGTAAATGAGTTGAACAGAAAAGACATCGTACCACTAAATACCCCTTCAATCTTGATGACCTCATCGCCTGTGTCAATAAGATCATTCAAGGTCGAGATAACTGGTAGTCCTGCGCCAACTGAACTTTCATGGAATATTCGAGCGCCAGATTTTGTTGCTGCTGTAAATATGTCTTGCCACAGATGTAATGACCCAGAAAATGCTTTTTTATTTGGGGTCACAATATTGATTCCCTTGGCCAGGAACTGAGGATATGAATTTGCTATCTCTTGTGAACTCGTGTTGTCGATCAAAACTGCACTCGAGGGCGCATTAGCTAAGAAATCGATCATTTCATGAATGGAAAGTTGACATTGAGTTGAATTGTTGAGGGAGATTAATAAGTCATCGAATGAGATTCCGTTGTAATCAGGGGTGAATAATAGATTCTTGCTTCGTGAAACTAAGATCAAGGAGAGAATTGGCAAAGATTGATCATCTTGAAATTTTTTAGAGAGATTTTCGAGCTGTGAAAGGAAGCACTTTCCCACTCCACCGGTACCTAAATGCCCTCAGTATGGAAAGAAGCTAGATTTGATCGCACAGACCGATCACAGCTATGTATATTGTCTTTCTTGGAAAAGCCATGGCGTAATTTGGGTGATGCTAGCTGTTTTTTGGCTAAGGTCTGACGGAACGTGGCTTGTCTGATACAAAACGTTTTTCCACTGCAAAATTTCACTGATTATCAAAAATTGGGTTGTGAAGTGCATTTTTTGATGCCTGTTGAACTCGCTACTGCTAGCCCCACCCCGTAATGCCAACACTGTCAACTTCTGAACCCTCAGAAATTGGAATAGATAATTTCATCTGCTTGAACGCAATAATGACATCAAACACGAGTTTGTACGGGATTCAGAAATCTAGAAAGGCTCAGAAACATGTTTCATCCTCCAGCAGCCTTGCTTTCACATCGACTCTCTCATCTCTACTGTCCACATCAGCGCTACCAAATGCTGGCACTAGCAGAACTCGACCATCCAAAAACAAGTCAGATATTTTTACATATCACAGGAAGAATTCTCTGAAAAGGAAAATCGAGATTAAAAAAGAAGGTGTGCGGGGTAATGAAGGACACAGTAGCACTCTCGAAACACTGAATAGTGGGACAGTAGACGATGCTACTCTACATCGATCTCAACGAAGGTTAAAAGCTAAAGCTAAAATCTACTCGCAGATAAAACGAGGCGAGCTTATAGAAAATGAAGAGATGCTAGTAGATTTTGATCAGAAATGGGCTAAGGAGGGCGATGCAGAATCAAGCTCGGATATCGAAAGCGATGACGGTCATGGCGAAATGGTTGAGTATGAGGACGAATTCGGACGAGCACGGCGTGGTACACGTGCCGAGGTCGAAAGGCTAGAACGGAGAAAACACTGCGCTTTAGTTGGTGCGGAAGACTTGGTGCAAATGAGCGCACGACCGGCTATGCCGAGTAAGCTCATCTATGGTGATGCTGTACAAAGCCTAGCATTTAACCCCGATGAGCCCATCTTAGCCAAGATGGAAGCGTTGGCGGCAAAAAGAGATAGAAGTTTAACCCCTCCCGAAATGCGCCACTATGAAGCAGACAAGGAGATAAGGACAAAAGGCGTTGGCTTCTACTCCTTTTCTAAAAACGAAACACTTAGACAAGATGAAATGAAAGCGTTGGAAAAAGAAAGATTAGAAACCGAAAAGTCTAGAGAGGAGAGGAAAGAGACAAAAGCTAGAAGATTAAAAGATATTGAAGAACGTCGACGCGTGATTCGGGGGAAGCGAGCAATTAAGCAGGGAAATAGCTTCCTGGACCTTCTAGGTGATGAACTTGGACTTGGCAAGTAAACGAATTGAGTTAAATCAGCGGTTAACACAACATCATATTTTATGGTGACCAAAAAATCACAAGCCTGATAAACTTCGTTGACAAATATGCCAGGCCCATCTTAGATTCTAAACAGCTATACATAAGATTGAAATATCTCAATCAATTTTTAATTTAGACTCCATAAGGATGGACTATTTAGATTTTGAGCTTTGAAATCCCGATTGTCAGAATTACTCGACGGGCTATACTCCTAATAAAAGTAAAAGAAAAGAAGCTTTGAATTCAATGAGGCTAGGTAGAAGTTCAATCGATTTTATGAAAAGAACTATAAAGAAAATTACACAAGAGATCTCATCAAAAATTTACTCGGCATATTTGATGCGTGTTTATATTATGGAAGAATATTTATCGTACTTGAGATGAGTTTCCAAGCTAGACTAAAACGACTCGCATATATATCGGAAATCTTGATAACCCGGAGTCCCAACCGACTCTGAGCCATTCTGTAAGTGACTCCGTCATTTTTAGCGCTGCGAGATCATCTTCTATACAAATATCTTCAGCTTCTAATGTGTAAAAGCTGTTGTTAACATATGGTGCAGCAGATCGATTGTGGTATAGCAACCAAGTTACATAAAATTAGGTGGTCTCCATTTGTTGCAAAGCCTACTGTTTTCCGATGCTCGCATAGGATACAAATATATGTCTTCACGTGATGCTTACGGCTCGGTCATGTTTTGCAACAGATTTGAATTACGTATGCAGTTAGCTAGGTATGATTCAATGTTAGAGAAAGAGCATAGTTGTCGGATCATTGTCAGTAGTTCATGATGTTATGTGGCTACATCATTTGACATATTTCCATTAAATCTTCCCGTAGCATTGAAGAGAATAGAGAATACACAAGAAGAATCATTGACGACATACTGCTAGCAGTTACACAGTGAATACGCCTACCAACACTGATCAGTGTTGCCTCAACATAGGCAACTCAGATCCGCAAGGTGGAAGAGACTTATATCGCGACATCTCCTACTAGGTAGGACGCCCTGTTGTAATTGAGTGTTACGAACGCGACGATGAAAGCATCCGCTGTGAACTCAGTGGCACTACGTTCTAAATTGGCGTTCTTTTGATGAGAGTGGAAGATATCTCTTCAAAAATAGAATCCTACCACACAATCAAAAAATTTTTCTCTCGAAGTTCATATGGTTGTGCCCACCTACACCAATCACCACCTCACCGCTAGTTTTCCGCTATCCTCTCACATCCAACCCACTCCCCGATCATACTATAGGCTAATCTGCTGACCTAGAATAAGAGAATTTTTTTTGAATAACCATTAAGATGAGCGACATAACGGAAGATGAAGGCGGATCTAATGACGCCAGAAAGGAGCAAAAGACATTATCATGTCTAAAAGAGATCGGCCTCCCTCAGACGGCAACTAAGTTTATCGCCATCGATCGCGTTGGTGAACCGCTAATTCTCACCAAAGCGACTCCCATTGAACGAAGCACAAAAATCTTTGATTTCATGATGAACAATCAGAGCACAGTTGATAAGGAGCTAATTTTTAACTTTCAGGAGGAATTCGGTGAATGGAATAAGTTAGAATACGATAAGACATCACCAGTATTGAAGAAACATCTCAGAATCTTTCTCAGAGAACATGGTCTCTACCCCGGACCACTCAAAGGACTCATCGCCCCGCAATTAATAAGCCTGCTTGGTATCGATAAACTGCCCGACTGGGACTATGAGGAGCTGAGGGCAATGACAGATATCCACCACAAATCCCTGGTATATTATTCTCGATATCAGACTTCATCGGCTCCAAACTTAACCCCTTCGTCAATTCATGACCAGAAAGTTCCAATCATCGATACTACAGCCACTAAATTGCCACCAACAATCCAAGCAGGTCAGAAATCGATACAGAACCAATCTTGCACAGTACACCCGACCACATAGCAATTTCATAGGGCTCCGACGCAGATAGGGATAATGCCAAATGACTTGATGAACCCACAAATACAGATCAAAAACGAGATGGACCTGGATGATGTTACCAACGTTCTCGACTCCCAAACTGTCCCACCTCTTATCTTCTTGAATCAGGAACCAGAGCCTAATGCAGTTTCAGCTTTTAGTTATTGAAAGGCTATGCTGAGCTGGAATGACGTACCGTTAGGATGAAGGTATGGAAGGAGGTAGCAATGGCTTTAAGAGAAGTAAAGTTCGTGAGTTATACTCTTAGGACTTGGATCAATGGACGAACTTGAGGATATTCCCTAGTATTCTCAAGTGTGTAAATAATATGGAGATTGTTTGAATTTCCTATTGTATGAATTGCTTAATTTATCTACGTGACAGGACCTTCTTCTATATACATGAATAAGGGGGTTCTGCACACTAGTGGATGTTCCAACATCTGTCCTTGTCTAACCGAGAAAGGAAGGATGTGAGAGATCCTAGCGCCAATAGATACCATTAGGAATCTATTGGGAAATACTATGTCATACCAATGAGTGATGATCTAGGTCAATCATATCCCATGGCGCATGTGCACATTATTCTAATGTGAACAGTTTATTGTAATGTAGTCATGTTACTCCCTTCATTACAACATTAGTAATATTTGGGACAAAATTTACAGTTACAGTGGCGATCCATACGATATTTTATGAGCAGAGCCAAGATAGCACGAATCAGACCATCACAAATGCACTCAATTTTTCACATGATACTTTCCAAGCGTGCGAAAGAGAGCTTTGTCTACAATGTGTATTTGTCAGATAAATTTGCTGTTATGTGTTGGAAATATCGCGCAATGAAATGGGCACAATATTTGTGGAACGAAAGTAGAAGTTGACTAAAAGATTGTCATGTTCGGACTACAGCTAGAAGTGTTGGAAGTATGCGCTACGAGTACAAGTGTAAGCGATACGAGCCTAAGCCACAGCATAAACGTGTGTGGCGCCATCTAGGCATAAAAAAACCCCAATAACCTCCTTGTACCTACGCCATACAGCCGCTCATGTCTCCAATAGGTAGCCTTAAGCGCTACCATATTACCCATTCCAATTTCTTAAATACACACGAGATCGTGTCGGGAACCTAGATGAAATGGAGGGCCAGTACGTCCACAACACTCTGTGCCTCCATTTCCAACACTATCTACCATAAGATCAAATTGCGCTTTGATCTAGAAGTCAATGACCACCAATATTATACCTACTGGAATTTAATGACTTTCGGGACCATGGTGGCAGATCTATCGCATCATGACAAGACAAAAGTTGAAGTGCTCACAGGCCTCCCAGATAGGCTGCAATTGTGCCAACGCGCCCTTGGTGAGAATTTTGCGGGAGACCTATAGCCTAGAATCAATACCGAACGTGCTTTCAAGGGATTTCTAGACTTTTAAATGGCTCTATACGATCCAGCCTTAACAATTGAAGCTTTGGCATCTATGCTGCGATCCTCTATCAAAAACTTAACAGACAGGGAGCAGTCACAGTACATCAAGAGCAACAGTTCTATACTGACCGCCAGTTTTACGGAGGGCATCAGCGTAGTTAACCAAAGGATAGGGGGATGATCAGGAAAACTCAAGGGGCTATTAGAATTCAAACAAGAAGTGCTGGGTCTGTGATAAACCTCGCTGCTGGTCGACAAACCATACCGAAAGCGAACAGAAGCGTGCTCGCGAACGGTACAGCATGACTCAACAATATGAAGGACGCAAGAGTGGGAACAGACAATATAGGGTATTTCCGATGAGCTTTGAAGGCGAACCAGAAGACAGTGACGAAGATGACTGACAAGGAAGTTATGTTGGAGATAGGAAAGATGACTTAGATAGTGGTAGTGCGGCAACAATGCCCTTTACATCATCATGTGTTCCTATCGACGATGCAAACTACTTTGATATTTCGGCAACCTTGGTAAACGACGCATTCCTGTACCAAATAGCGCCGCACACATCAAGTTCAATGGTTTGCCCAATGAAGCTGTAGCGGAAAATTTCGTACTCGATCGCTACTCGCAGTCATCATTCCAAGGCATCATACCCGACACAGGGGCTGCAAAAAGTTCAACTGGTGGTCTCGAACAGTTTTTGGCTTTGCAACGAGATATTCCGTCACTGAAGCTCGATAAAGCATGAGACGGTAATGTTTCTGTTCGGTTCGGTGTTGAAGGACCACTTAATGCTATCGGAGTCGGCTTGGTCACAACTCCAACTGGTAAAATTCACTTCCAAATCATACCGTCACTGTCACCGTTTCTTATTTTTCTCCAGGATATGGACAATATCGGAGTTTACCTAAACAATATAACCAATGCCTTCGTCACAAAAGAAGGCAATTATGTACCTATTATACGAAAATGGGGTCATCCATAGTTCTTTCTATTGAAAGGTGGTGATGTATATGGTTGTATACGCTTGATATCTTCAATTAAGTGGTTGTGACTACTCAGGGGGCTTAGAATACACTTGGGTGATTATGGCAATAAATGTTACGGGATGCGAATGGTATCATATTGTGTTATTGTTGTTATATAATGTTACAGGTTACCTACATGATAATTAACTAATCCCACATACTTCCAGATAGCGCCGTAGCTAGTCTCTTTTAGGAGTGATCTACGGGTGAGTGTAGCGATCGGTGGTATATAATTTATCACTCACCTGTTTCCATTTCCCTGGCTCTGCATGCTATACTACGTGGATGACAATTTACTACTAATGTGAAAAGCGCATTCATGACACTTTCTTGGTCGAAAGGAGGCTATGACCGCGTACTTGACTCGAAGTGAATTGTTCCGCCTCCATTCTCGCTTTGGAATCCATCAGTCCCGCGCCTCTACAAGCTTCTCCACCGATCCGGACATGATGTCGATCACGACATACTGGAGATGATTACGAAGTTCTGTCACCATTGTCAGGTCAAAGGCAGTGCTCCCCGCCGATTCAAGTTTTCTCTAAAATATGACCAGGAATTCAACTACG